TGAATAATAAATTGTTGTAGTATTATGATTAAATATATGAGATGAAAAATCTCCACACACTGCTAAGATGGTCAAGAACCTGATTTAACAAGGTCTCAGACCTATACAAAAGCCATTACTACAATTCTTCCTGAGGAATATAGAAATAAAATGAGTTCAACTGACAGACTGACATACCCAAAGATATGTGGATCACTTGACCCCCAAAAATATGGTTCTCCTTTCCCAAGATGGGGAATAACACAATGGTGTGCTTTGGCTATTTCAAGAATGCCTGAGAGGCTTTGAGTTATTACATGCTCATGTCTTATGTCATCATCAATCTGCTGTAGTAAATTCTCATAGATATTTATTGAAAAGGTGGTAGAGGTGATGGATGACTCCATATTAACAATGGCTTCAAATCTCAAATTTACAGTGAGTAACACAAATCCAAAGTCTGTATCAGTATCCCTACATAAGCATCAGGCTCCCAAAGTCCATTTGTTCTCTAGGGATAAACAGTTACTCCACTGGCAGAGGTACCATAGACTGTCTTGGCTTCCTAGCTGGCACCCAGATCTAGAGATAAGGGAAACAAGGCCTGAGCCATCCCCCAAATGATGTGACAGACTTTGATGATCCCCAGTGGAGGGACTCATTTCCCCTGGGTAGTGAGTAGGGCATGGGTTGGGGGGTTGGTGGGGATCATGGGAGGATGGGAGGTGGAGGTAATGGGGGGATGGATATGTAAATAAGAGTTGTTCTAAAATAAATAAAAATTCTAAAAAGAAATTCATAATCTGAGGTAGCAGACACATGATATGGACTGTTTCAAACTACACAAAAATAACAGCCAAGAAAAAATAAATCTAGTACATTAGTAACTTTCAAGAGAATTATGTAATTCAACTCTGTCCCCAAATTTTGTTTCCCAAATAGTCATGCATCGCCTGAATTGACAGAAGGATTGGGATGACTAGAAACAAAAAAGTAAAGTACAAAGTTTCTATATGACAAAAAATTGAAATTAAAACTAGGATAGGAAAGTTGAATCTGTGAAACCCGGAATGGCAACAAGCAGATAATTTAGTTTCCATTGCTATATTTTATTGTCAACTTAAAGCTGTGGGTGACAGGTAAGGTGGCATCTGAAAAATGCTACTGCTTGATATATTCAGAGTCTAATGTTTCATGGTGAAAATTGGCAATGTCATAGCAGTGGATATCTCTGATGGGGGGAGAAAAGAGGAGGAATCCCCTAGTCTCTGTCAGATGCTAAACCTGAAGTGAATTTTATGCTGGCAAATGATGCACCACTTCAAGACTGAGACAGAGAAGTCACATCATAAAAGAAAAGCTGTAGCTTCAGTAGCAGGAACCTACCTCCAACCCAGGTTACAAGAAAGGGCTATTTAGAGCTAAAATGCTAGAAATTCAACAATCCCTGCCTTTGGTGATAGCCACAGACTCTGTCTCCTGTAGATGTCAAAAGCCATCTGCCTTATCTCGGTGTACAATCAGGCTTTGGTTATACCTAGGATCTACTGACTATAGCCAGAGCCTGACTGGTAAGAAGCTGCAAGGAGACAGTTTTATTAGCTTTCATTCTCCTTGACTGAAAGACTGTGCACGGAATAAGCTGAGCACGGAATAAGAACCAACAAAGTGAGTGATCTAAATTCCATCAATGGAAGCCAATTCTTGGTTGATCTTCTAGATCCCCATCAGAGATGTTGATTCATTTTTCTCTCACAAGGAAATGTATGCTGCAGAAACAGTGAAATTGAAAATGTACACCAGGAAAAATGTAATTTACTCTGGGCTCTGACTCCAATTATCCTTAGAAAAGCATGACAGTGATAAGTAGGGATAATCATATATCCAGTTGGTTGGACTACATCCTGTCCTTCTACATGGGATCTTCATTTCTGTCTGTAGCTGGCTGAATTTGATTCTTGGCTACCTATTTCAGTTTGATGCTAACATTTTCTAGTATGCTATGTCCCTAAATGCACTGACTTGGGGAAATTGACACTCAAAATTTACACTAGTCTTAGCTGGCTACATGAGGATCTTCTGGGACATACCACCCAAACTAATGAATCCTGAAATGGAATTTGTAAACAATACATCCTGGTTTCTATCAGGTATGATTCCAGAAGTAATCATATCTTATTTGCATGTAATGTAGGATCCAAGACTGAGGCAGAGATGACAGATATTAAGGCAGAAACAGAGGTGTCATAGAGATTAGGACATTTCCTACACATAAAAAAGGAGCATGTGAATCAGAGCAGTGTGGGAAAAGATACCAAATCCATGCCTACCCATTATGTCTGTTTCCTGCAGGTCTCTGGAGCAGTTTTCCTTCTCTATGTTTGTTTACAGCCAGGCTTTGATGAAATCCAGTTAAGTGTGGGACTTTAGCTAGGAACCTGACTGATAAAAACTCTGAGGGTGGACATTTTTATTTGATCTGATTGCCTCCTATTGGTGGGGGCATGCATTAAGAGAAGCATTGGGAACCAAAAAGGAGAGAAATCTCAAACCCTCGAATGGGAAACAAATGACTGCAGTTCTTGGAGATCTGCATCAGAGCTGCTGATTCATCTCATTCTTCCTCCCTCCCCCTGTGTGTTGTAAAACAATCAGGGAAATTGAAATGGAAGACAGGATAGAATGTAATTTACCTTGGATTATGGCTACAATTAACAATAGAAAAACCTGGTAAGCGTTTATTGGTGGACTGCTGGTGTCCAAATGCTAGCTTTGTATTAGAAAGCCTCCACTTCCTCCAAACTTTCCTGATTGTGATACTGTGCTGACAAGTGCAGCTTGCTGCTAACTCTTTCTGATCTGCTTGTGCACATTTTCCAAGTGTGGTATTTTTATGTGGTTGATTTATAAAACTGCAGATTATACCCATTAGAAAACTCTACAAAAAGATGCCTGGATTGAAGACAAAAATGTTGATTTTAAGCCATCTTCCAAATAGCATGGGGCCATGGATTCTAAACCTGAAAAACTGAAAATTTCAATGTCAAATACTTTTTATAATAAACATTTTACAGTTGTTAGGATACCACATATAACAAGCCTTCATTTGCTCTCTTGTGGTGACTGTGTGCTCTTTCCAGATGATATCACATTAATGAACCATGATTTTAACATGTTGCTTTTAACCCAGAAACTGTAGCGCTCCCTAATTTTCATTCCTCCCATTGAGGTGCTTTTACCTTATTCTTCTTATATTATTCTTTATATTATACTTTTCCTAGTTATGGTTGTGTAAAATGTAACTACCTGTTCTAGAAATATATTTATATATATTCCACAACTTGACACTCCTAGAACAAGGATTGCTCTTTGGTAGACACTAATGGAGTACAGGGAGATAAGCTAACATTTTGTAGATATTGCCAATATGAATCCTGGACAGAACCTAACAATAGGCTAGAATGCAAGAGTGATATTGACAGTACGAAAGGGAAAATTGTGTATCCTTATCTGCTAGAAGATTCTGCTTGTATGCAGTTCACTTGCAACACAATTTTTGCGCATGCAGTTTTACAGATGCTACTTCTTGAAATTTCAATCACTCAAATATTTCATACATAAAACTACAATATGATCACTATTCCCACAATAGATATCCCATGGGAAAGGAAATAGCAGGACTCCCCTTGTCTATGTCAGATACTAAATCCTCAGGTGAAGCATTTTACTGTAGGTCTTTCAGTACTTCAAGTCCCACAAACAGTTTTCTCAGTTTTAAAGATAATATGGTCAATAACCTGGAATCTCCTTGTACAGGTGACAAGATGTGGATGATCACATCTGTACTACAAGGAATAAAACAATCCCTTACATGTTCTAATTTATATGTGTAGTGTCTCCAGCATTACTAGAAACTGTTAGTTGCCTTTATTGGGTTTTTTATGCCCAGATGCAATTGAATTTCAGAACACAGCCAGAGACTGACTGGTAAGAACCTGCAATTCTGACATATAAGCTCTCCTTGCCTCTCAGTGAAGGTCTGTGTGCATTCACATTGTGCAGGGAATCGGGAACCAATAAGGAGAGTGTTCTCATTTCCACCAACGGAAAACAAATACTCAGGAAAGATTGGAGATCCCCCTCAGAGCCGCTGATTCATTTCTGCCTCACGGCTAAACATATGCTGCCGCAGAAACCATGAAATAGAAACTGGGTGACAGATAAAGAAATGAAACTCATCCTTGTTCATGTATACAATAACAAACAAAAGAGAAAAGCATCCTCGGGTAAGTAGGGGTGCATATTTATCCAGCTGTTTGGTCCTATAACCAGGAAATCTAAATGAATTCCTCCAAATCTGCATTCTTTTGGTTGATTATGATTCTGTGCTGCCAACTGCAGCTGGCTTGAAGTGATTTTTGATATCATGCCAGATTCCACAGATGCACTTATTTGTGGAATATCACATTTGAAATTCACAGAATCTCAGATGGCTTAGTAATTATTCTCCCTAATGTAGCCATTTATATTTTGTCTTCAAAGGGCATGTTTAATCAGCATAAACATGTGTTTTCAAAGTATTTTGTTAAAAGTAAATCTTCCTTGCACATAAAGCATGATCCAAGACTGAGCCAGTAATCACAGATTTTAAAGCTGTAGCCGTGGCTTCAGAGAGAGGGGCACAATTTCTTCCCAGCAAAAGAAGCATTTACTCACAGCAGGATTGTGGGAAATCTCACCAATCACCTACCCTATCCTAGGTTTTAATTGCCCCTCTCTCCTGCAGGTCTCTGTGATAGTCTCCCTTTTCTTGGGTTGTTTTCAGCCAAGCTTGGCCCAAATCCAGCTAAGAGCTGGACTTTAGCCAGGAGCCTGGCTGGAAATATCCTCCAGTACGGTCATTTTTATTAGGTGTGAATGCCTCCTATTGGAGGAGTACATTTAGGTAGACATGCATTAGGGACGAATCAGGAGAGAGATCTCAAACCCACACATGGAAACAAATGACGGCAGTTTTTGTTGATTCATCTGTCTCTCCCTCCTCCCTGTTTGTATGAAAGAAGCAGGGCAATTTAATTGGGAAGAGACGATGAAACATAGTTTAACCATCTCTCTGCTGCTGTTGTTTAAGTAGCAGACAGCACTGCCTAATGCTGCCTGGTGGCTGAGCAAATTTCTCCCTGCTTTTGCTGATATTGAAATGATATGCCAGACAATCTCCAGTCTTTTCAGGTTTTTCAAGGTTGGGACACTGGGTTGCCTGGTGTGTATGGAAGCATCTTCTTTGTTATTGATTGTTCTAATGTTCTATATTTTTTGTACTTGAATTATATGTGTAGTATATTTTATATAGATTATGTCATATATATTCTTACCTTATCATCATTTATAAACATATTTTATGTCAGTAAATTTTAATGATGTCTGTCCCATATGTATACATATTTACATATGAGTGTTAAATAAATCTTAATTTTAAGAAATATGTTTTTTTTTCAATCATTTTGCCAGATTGATTTAACTGGAACATAGTCTCTCACATTGCCTTCTTAAAAAAGAAAGAAATTAAAATTTACTTATTTTAGAAAGAAGATTATAATTATCATTAACTCTCAAGAATAAATTTGTGTGTTGTAAAGCCTAATAGGTTACTAACCAGTTATATTTGCAAGTTTCCCTCATGTGTTTATTCATCATATTCACAGTCTTTTCAAGTCCATTCATTAATATTATTCCATCAGCATGTTCTTTTTTATTTTCTGTGTCTTATTTATTTATAATCTTTAATTACTACTCAAATTTACATATCCATCCCCCATTCCCTCACCTTTCCATCCTCCCATTTTCACCACCAACCCCCCCAACCCATCCCCAAACTCCTCCCTAGGGATAGTGATGCCCTTCACCAGGGAACTTCAAAGTCTGTCATATCACTTGGGGCAGGGCCTAGGCCCCCCTTGCTGTTTCTGGCCTGTGATATTATCCCTCCATAGGGAATGAGCTCCCAAAGTCCATTTGTGCTGTAGGGTTAAAGACCGGCTCCACTGTTAGAGGTCCCATAGATTGTCTTGGCCTCCTATCTTGCACCCACATTCAGAGGGCTTTGTTCAGATCACTGCTGTTTCCCCAGCTTTATGACTAAGGTCTCACTGCTCTCTCTAGATCAGGTCAACTGTTTCTACAGCACCATCTGTCTCCTTTGCTCTTCCCTCCTCCCTCTCCACAACAGGATTCCAAGAGTATGGTTCATTGCTTAGCTGTGGGTACCTGTTTCTGCTTTGAACACCTACTGGATGAAGGTTGTAGGAATGCTAACCTAGGTGATATCAATCTCATTATAGGGGAAGGGCGCCAATGGCATCTTCTCCATAACTGTTTGTATTATTAGTTGGGGTCATCCATGTGGATCCCCTAACATTTCCCCTGGTCCAGACTTCTCTCCAAACATGTACTGTCTCCATCTATCAGGGAATCTCCTTTCTTGCCCTCCTCTATCCCTCCCCTGTCCCAGTCCCCTTGTTTGCCTCCTCCACACCTTCTTTCCTTCCCACCTCCTTCCTCTCCTCCTCCTTTAGAGGACCCTGAATGAAGATAGGATAATAATGTCATCTTATTATGCCTTGTATTACTATTTTAGGAAGTAACAATCAGTTGAGATTTTGTTTCTTTACATCTGTCTATTTTTTTGTTTGTTTGTTTGTTAAGCATATGTCCATGTCTGCTGTCAGGAGAGTCCCAGTTGCAGTCTTATCTCCTTGCAACACATCATGCCTTTTACCCTAATTAAGCCATATTGCCCTGTCTAACAAACTGAGACTTGAACAGAGTATTGTCTTGTCCCTATCTCTCCTGTCTCTTGACCTTTCCATTCTCACTTCCTCCCACAGGTTTCCCCTTGACTGACCCTGCATGCCCGGGCAGGTGTGTTCAAAGTGTATGGCCCAGGTACGAGGGCTTCAGTGAAGAACGTAGCTGAGATGAGCCAGCCACAAAGACAAAAGTTATAAAACAGAGGAATTTGTTAGAGTGGAGCCTGCTGCTACAACCAGACCTTGGTAAGTTAGCCATGATTATTAGGCTATTAAGAAATGATCCAACATGAGTTATTCATTGAAGGCCTCAAAAAGGCGCTTAAGTTTGGAGGGTTTAGGCTTAACAAACAAGAATTGCTGAGATTCTTTTTTTTATATATATATTTATTAAGGAAGTTTGTCCTTTGTTCCCCAATGAAGGGACCATAGATGAAAAAGGTGGAAATAAGTAGGACATGCTCTAAAGGATTATTATAGAATCTTTGGACCTGAAAAATTCCTGTCATGACAAATTCCCGTCATGATAAATTGTGGAATTTAATCAGTGAAATCATACCTCACAAACAATGTGATCTTCTTGAGGCCAATGTGATTAAAGGAGAAAATTGTCTAAAACCTACTGAAACTGACGTGTTTTAGGAGAAAAATCAGAACAAATCAGTGAGGAAAAAGACTTTATGTCATTTGAAGATGAACAGAAGAACTCCCCCACAAAAAAAAAAAAAAAAAAAAAAAAAAAAAAAAAAAAAAAAACACCTCACTGATTCTGGATAGAGCTGCTAAGAAAATTCCTCTACCTCAACCAGGAATCCAAAAAGGATCTGGGGGCCAAGCATAAAATCAAGAAAATATTCCCCTCTCTAAGAAAGTTTTCAAAAATCCAACACCCTACAGAAGACAGTCTTAGTGATACAGACTGGGAGGAGTTGGAGGAAGAGGCAGCTAAATATCATGAGTCAGAATGGCCCCCATTAACTAAAAATAGGTCTCTATATTATGAGCCTCTCCCAACAGCCCCTCCCTTGGCTTGCCCTGTTTTAAATCCTTAAAAGGAACTACAGGACAAAGCACTGCCTGGTGACATCATACAGGTTTTGATTTCAATGTCATTAAGGAAGTCAAAATCGCCATCTCTCTGTATGGAGCCATGGCCCCATGCACCACTGCCAACATAGAATCCTTGGATAGCAATTGACTTACTATCTGATTTGTACACTCTGACCAGAGGAACTCTTGCAGGGGGAGACTACCTATTATGGAAATCAGAGTTTGCAGAGGCCTGTAAAGAACATGCAAAAACAAATGATCAGGCCAATAATGGCTAGAATGCAGACATATTATTGGGAGAGATAAACTATGAGGCAGAGGATGTCCAAATGAAGTATGCACGTGGGCTATATGCCTACATCAAAGCAGCTGCCACCAAGGCATGGAAGAGACTACCTGCTATGGGGGAATGAGTTCTTCCCTAACTGACATCAAACAACGTCCTGATGAGCCTTTCTCAGATTTTGTTCATCACCTGCTAATGTCTGCAGGAAGAATTTTTGGAAACACTGATTCAGGTACCAAGTTTGTTAAACAGCTTTTGAAAATGCAAATTCTGCCTGCCAAGCAGCTATTCAGCTATATCATAAAATAACAGACCTCTCAGGCTATATTTGCCTCTGTGCTAAAATAGGCACAGCTTATCAACTGGGGCTTGCCATGTGAGCATCCATGCAAGGTACTACACTCAAATATTTTTAGCTAATCAGACCAAAAACAAATGCTTTAATTGTGAAGGATTTGGCCATTTTGCAAAAGCTTGCCCACAAAAATAAAAAAGATATGACTCAAAAGGCTTCTGCCCCTGGACTTTGCTCTAGTTGTAAAAAAGAAGACACTAGGTTAACCAATGACAGTCTAAACTGATGTACAAGGCCAGTCTCTGTCCCCCAGTAGCAACCAGGGAAATGGGTACAGGGGCCAGCACCAGGCTCCCTAACCCAAACAAGTTTATGGAGCAGTAAGCTTTGTCCCAGCAAGCAAAATCCATTTCTACCCTCTTCAGAGCAGCACCAGGTAGTGCAGGACTGGACCTCAGTTCCACTACTCACACAGTTTAAACACCAGAGATGTGTGTTCAAGACATTCCCACAGGGATCTTTGGCCCCTTACCACCAAATACATTTGGGCTAATTATTGGCCACAGTAGTATAACAATACATGGCTTACAAATTTTCCCAGGGGTAATTGATAATGATTATGAAGGTGAGATCAAGGTCATGGTAGCCTCTCCAACTACAATGAACACTCTTCCAAAGGGACAATGCTTTGCTCAGCTATTGATACTTCCCCTTTTACATACTGATAATAATAGCATGGCTAACAAAAGAGGAGTGGCTTTGGATCTTCAGAGGCCTAATAGATAGAAAATATATCTAATAATAAGCCCACCTTGGTATTAAAATTTGATAATAAAGTTTTTTCAGCACTGGTAGACAGAGGTGCAGATGTCACTGTTATCAGAGAGGAAGAATGGCGATCCACCTGGCCTCTAGAGGAAACTCTAAAACACCTAAGAGGCATAGGACAACTGCAGCACCAAGGTATTGACCTGGAGAAATTCTGAAGGCCACTCTGGGCAAATCCAGCCATATGTCATCACTGTACTCCCAGTCAATTTATGGGGTCAAGATCTGCTGTCACAAATGGGAATGATCATGTGCAGCCCTAATGAAGTTTTAACCATGCAAATGTTTAAAACAGGCTTCATAGCCAGCAAGGGCCTGGGCAAACATGAGGCCTGGCATTCAATTGCCTATTTCTGCTGTACCTAAAAATGACAGCACAGGCATAGGGTATTTCTCTTAGGGACTCTTGACTGTTCTGTGGCCCATGCACAAAAAATACCACATGGCTTTATAATGAAGCTATCTGCTTTGATCAATGGCCCCTTTCCTCAGACAAACTTGCTGCGGCTCAAGAGCTGGTATAGGAACAGCTTGAGGCTTGCCATATACTGCCTGGCACCTCCCCTTGGGAAAACAACTATTTTTGTCAACAAAAAGAAATCTGGGAAATGGTGTCTTCTACAATACCTTAAAACTGTAACTAAAACCATGATTTCAATAGGAGCCATACAACCCAGTCTCACTTGCCCTGTTGCAGTTTCTTTAGGATACCCTCAAATCATAATTGACTTAAAGGATTGTTTCTTCACTATACCCTTATACCCAGATGATCAGAAATGTTTTGCCCTCAGCTTTCCCCTCTCCAAAATTTCAGGCACGCATTCACTGGAATCAATGATGCGTTCTCCCTCAAGGCATAGCTAATAGTCCCACACTTTGTCAGTCCTTCATGGAAACTGCCATTCATATGGTTAGAGATTCATGGCCACAAATGTACATCATACATTATATGGATGATATTCTTTTGGCAGGACAGAAAGGGGAAGAAGTTATGATCTGCTATAAAGAATTGTGTGATGTCTTAGTAAAGAGGGGACTACAGATAGTTCCAGATAAGGTACAATAAAAAGACCCCCTATACCAATGAATGCCAAAGGGATCGGTACCAGGCCCGTGAAACCCACAGAAACAGCTGGACTGTACAAGGGGGTGCACATGGACCCCAGACTGCTGTCTGAGAGGCCAGAACAGGACTGATCTAGACCCCTAAACATGGATATCATTGAGGAGGCCTCCCCACTCTAGGGGCACCTGGTAGTGGATTAGTATTTTCTCCTGTTTTAAGACGGGACTTTGAGAGCCCATCCCACATGAAGGGATGCACTCTCGGCCTGGACATATGGGGAATGAGGTGGTGTAATTTGGGGAGCCCCCTTCAAGGGCCCTACCCTACCTGGGGAGTGGATGATGGATTGGTTTGGGCATGGATCAGGAGTTGCGGGGAGGGGAGGGAGACACAGAAGGGATTGACAGGTAAAACAAGATTGTTCCTAATTTGAACTAATAAAAATATTACAAAATAGACCCCTATACCTGCCTAAGTTTTCAAATGTTTGAGGACAAAATATTATCTCAAAAAATTACTTTAAGGTTAGATAGGCTTCTAGAAAAAGCTATCCAAACACAACAAATTACATACATGGATTATAGCTGCCCATTATGGTATATTGTGTGTAAACTAGCACAAACCTCTACAGCTGTCTTTTGGCAAACTGCTCCCATATTATGGGTTCACCTACCAATAAGCCCAAAGAGGGTAATAAACCCCTATTTTCAGTTTATTTCAGATATCATTCTTATAGGTAGAAAACAGGCCAGAGCCTATTTTGGGCATGAGCCAGACCTTATTGTTCAACCTTATAACAAAGAACAGTTTGATTGGTTTATTCAAACAACAGAAAACTAGCCCATAGCCTTGGCTAATTACATGGGAAACTTAGATAACCATTATCCTCCCAATAGGTTAATTGATTTTACTAATCACCAACAATTTATTTTTCCAAAAAATACTGTTTCAGACCCCGTCCCAAATGTAGTAACTGTGTTTACTGATGATTCCTCCACTGGATTTGCCACTTATGCTTAGAATGATGAGGTCACTATCTTTCAAACTGGAGCCTAATCTGCTTAAATAACAGAATTACATGCTGCAGTAGCTGCCTGTACTGCCTTTCCTGAACACCAATTAATATTTATACTGACAGTGCCTATATTGCCCATTCAGTACCACTTCTGGAAACTGTATGTCAAATCAAAAACATCTCTAAGATGGTTAATTTATTTAGACAAGAAACTTCTTTCATAAGAATTATGAAATTATGAATTATCATGCTCATTCAGGCCTCCCTGGACCTTTATCCAGAGGTAAACATTTGGTTGATCAAGCTACCCTTTGTCTCATGGTTATGCCTGTCAATTCCATCCAGGACACAGGCATTGGAGAAGCAAGTAAAAGACACTCATTACATCACCTCAATGCTCATACTTTAGGCCTTATGTATCAAATTACTAAGGAACAAGCTAGACAGATAGTTAAAAGTTGCCCACAATGTATCCAACATTTACCTGTACCCCATCTGGGAGTTAATCCCTGGGGACTTGTGTCTAATTCTATCTTGAAAATGGATGTTACCCATGTTTGGCATTTGGTCACCTTAAATATACTCATATTAATATTGATACATATAGTGGATTTCTTTTTGCTTCTCTTCTTACAGGAGAAACAACTAAGAATGTAATCAGCCATTTGCTAGCTGCATACTCTGTCATGGGCACCCCCCAACAAATTAAGACTGATAATTGACCTGGATACACCAATGCCAATTATAAGAGTTTCTGCAAATAATTTGCTATTAATCATGTTACTGGAATCCCATATAATCCTCAGGGACAAGGTAAAGTGGAAAGAGCCAATCTTCCAGGCAAATGGAATATTAATAATTTAAAAAGGGGGACTTGGTATCCCGCCCAAGGCATGCCAAGGAATATTCTGACACATTCTCTTTTTATTATTATTTTTTTTTTAAATTTGGATTATGTTGGAAAATCTGCCATCACACAATTTTGGCACTCTGATTCACAGAAAACTTATGGCACGGTAATGTGGAAAGACCCCTTAGACAACACCTGGCATGGACCTAATCCAGTCCTAATATGGAGACAGGGATCAGTATGGATATACTCTAAAGAAATGAAATCTACCAGATGGCTTCCTGGAAGATTAGTTAAGCAAATAGATGATGATATAACCCTTTCCAGGAGGAATTGCCCCTCCTGAGGATTCTAATCCTTTCTGTTTTACAGAAATGAAGATTCATGCCATACTCTGGAACATTCTTCTGTTGGCACCTCTTTCAGAAGAGAGCTGTTTGACCAACCCATCTGGAATGTCTGTTGTGGATTGCTGCCCCATCTTCTTCCCCTGTTAGGTCCCTTGCTTGGCTTATTGATTTCTCTATTGCTTGCACCTTTTCTCAATAATAAATCGATGGCTTTCATCAAGAATCAGGTATATGCTATCAAAATAGAGCCTATATAGATGCACTGCCATTACCTTGACTTGGCCAAAATGGGAGATGACTATAATGAACTCTATTTACAGAACATAAGATCTGTGTATTTGAAAAATCATTGGGTTCAATCTTTCCTTGGTGAGTTGGGCTGGATAGCCAACAATGGGCAAGAGAGGGAGGGTTTAGTGTGTCTGACCCTGAAGCCCCCTAAGAAAGGAATCATCATCATGCAACATCAACTCCAGAAAAGGGTAAGGCTATCATACACTCTTCAGCCCATTGATTCCACTGACCTAAGCCTGGCACAGTCCCCTTAAGGACATCCCCTACCTATGGCCTTCTTACATATTATATAAAAATAAAGGGAGACATGTAGAGGACTCTGAAAGAAGATAGCATAATAATGTCATCTATGCCTTCTATTACTTTTTTAACACTCAGTTAAGTTTCTGTTGCTTTGCATCTGTCAATTTTCTTGTAAAGCATATGCCCATGTCTGTAGTCAAGACAGCTCCAGCCCCAGACTTATCTCCTTGCAACACATCATGCCTAGAAGGACAATAGTCTCCCCCACACCCTGACCCTTTTACCCTACTTAAATCATATTGACCTGTCTAATAAACTGAGACTTGATCAGAGTACTCTCTTGTCTCCATCTCTCCTGTCTCTTTTCTCTTCCATTCATATTCCCTCCCCCATGGTTCCCTTTGACTGATCGCACAAACTATGAAACCTCCCCTGCCCCCACGTTCCCAATTTGCCAGAATCTGGAAGCAACCTAGATGACCCTCAACTGAAGAATGGGTAGAGAAAATGTGGTATAATTACACAATAGAGTACTACTCAGCAGAAAAAAACAATTGAAACTTGCAGTTTGCAGGCAAATTGATGGAACTAGAAGAAACCATCCTGAGTGAGGTAACCCAGTAACAAAAAGATAAACATAGTATGTACTCTTTCATATATGATTTCTAGACATAGAACAAATGATTACCAGTCTACAATCTACACTGCCAGAGGAGCTAGGAAACAAGGAGGACCCCAAGAGAAGAATGAATAGTCCATCGAAGAAGGGGAGGGGGACAAGAACCCCTAAACATCTTCCTTTGAAGAATCCACACATTTCCCCAAAATAGAATATGCTCCAATTTCAAATATCACTGTTAAACCTGAAGCTTATGTTTTTGTTATCTTTGATAAGAACTGAATTTTTTAATGCATTTCTATGTGCATCACTATGCATCCATCTACTGGAACAAGAGTAGTCCCACATGGCAAGCAATTCTGAAAAAATAAACTACAACTATCCTTCTCATTTCTTTAATAGATGAAAAGTGACTTTCAATATTGTTTGGCAATAGTTCTGTTCCTAATTGAATGGCTTTTAGTTTATATGGAGAGATATGGAAAAATCTTAACCACTTATACTGTGAAAGGATAACAGTTTTCTCACTCATATGCAAGTAATGGTTTATTTGGTTTAGTTATTGGCTAAATGTATCCATATATGGACACATTTGTTATTCAGAAACACTATAATTTAGATGTGGAACTTGGATTATGAGGATAAGAATATACTTTTGATATTCCTGTATACTTATGTCATCATAGAAACTAATGCATTTGCTACTATGCTGCCCTTGGATGGAATACAGGTGATATAACTCAAGGTTAATCAGAATGTTAGTGGCTTAAAAGTTAGCAGGAATAAAATTTCTCACTCTCATGAGCTATATGCCTTAATGGAAAAAAAAACTGAGTGATTTTTAGAAATATCTTTGTCTTTGTGGCCCAAAACTGAGAAAAATCTGTAATTATGAGGTTTGCATTCAAGGCCTCGAGTTGGAAGGAAAACCACAAGCTTCTTTAATAGCCAAGAACTGGATACCAGTGTTGTGACCCTGATGGGTGACCTAAGGTGCCCTTGGGGTTGGCTTTTTCACCTCATGACCAGGCATTCTTGTTGAGACACTGCTGGGTGACCTAAGGTGCCATTGGTATTCTCTGTCTGCCTCAAGACTGGAGAGGATTAGCACATTTTTAATGGGGACAATTGTTCCACAGAATCATACCTCCAATTTCACCTAGGCTGGCCTGTATGCAAGAATGCAAACTATCAGCCCATTGCCAGGGGGCTTGGGTACATGGACCTTGGTCTGAGTAAATTTCTACGTGACTGCTGTTGATGTATAAGTATTCTCCCCTTTGAAAATAAACGGAATTCTCCTTGCAAGAATGACCCACTTTCTTGTCTTTATTTAACACTCAGATTCCCTTGCCTGAACAATGATATGTTGTAAAGCTGGCTGCTAATACAAATGGAGGTCCCACCAAGATCGGGAAAGCAGGGAATACACACTGAAGGGTCACCTGTCAGGGCTGGCCATCATGGAGGTTAGGGGATTTATTGATATGGTTGTCTCAATTCCTGAGAGAGTTAGGCTGGTAAGGTACCATAAGGGTGACTCAGCTCCTGAAGGAATTGGATTGGGAATAAAGTAGTGCTGTCACAAAAAGAAATTGAAAAATGAAAAGTATAGAAAAATAAAAAATAGAAAATAAAAAAATTGAGTAATAGGAAAGAAAAATAACATAGATGAGTTTATTAAGATTTGAACAGATATCAGACAAGCTGAAACCTCAGTTAAAAATTTGTTATTCCTACAGAGAAAGCAACGCACAGGGAGGAAAAAATGCACTTAGCTTTCTAGAGGTTGCTTTGGAGGTGATCATGATGGGCACCAGGTCAGTGTCCCAACAGAAGAGAAAATAGATGATCAGGCTTGTGCCCAAGATACAGGAGAGCAGCTGCAGATTTTCTAGTGTCCCAGAGGGCATAGTTGAGGTTAGGCCAAGGTCAGTCCCTATAGCAGCCACCAGCTGCCTGCCCCCAGCAAGTGGCTTGGTGACACCTCGGGCCATTGTCTGTGGAAGACTTGACAAAGCAGAGTAAGGCCTGAAGCTCCTTGGTTAACTTGAAGCCTTGGGAGATGCCACTATGGCTGATGCCAATCAAATGTGTAAAAAAAAATGCTATTAATACAGCCAGTCATAAACTGTTTTAAGAACTTATAGAGAAGAAAGGGCAACATATTTAAGTTTAGATCTGTTCAAATTTAGGATGCTCACATTTCAAGAATTAGCTATAACTGCTGCATTACAAGAGATTTCAATTAGGAATTTTTCAGTTCAACAAACTGATCATAACCTAGGCAAAAGGAGAAATGTGAGATGTATGTAAGATATGAATGTTTGGTGTGGCCACACCTAAATGTTTGATATATGTATGATTGTGAATGCATGAATGCTGACAAAATTAACTGCTTAAATTCCCTTAGATATGATTAGAGAGATGATTAATTTGTCTCAGATGTAGTGGAATGGCTACCAAGATTGCTTTGAATATAGTCATAAAGAGCATCCAGTCAGTCAGTCAGTCAGTCAATATCTTAACAGGAAAAATTAATGATTTGAGCCCTAGGAGATAGTCAATAAAAAAAGAGAGCAGAAGCCTATATCATTAACTTAGGCACATGGGCAATCTGTGCAAGATTCTGTAAAATCTGGGAGAGGAGAGGATATAGAAATCCTCCTAAATTTTTATAGTTGTAAAAGAAATTCAAGAAAGTAAACGTTGATACATGATTTGAAACAGGGTTTTGAGAAAAAGCTTCAGAATACAGCCACCTTATTGCTATGCCCAACCTGGAATGTTGTCAGCAAAGATGCAAATGAAGCCTTGTCAGGTAACAAAGAGCTTCAAAGGTTAGATTGATAAAGGATGCCCAGAAACTTTAAATTAATATCAAATACTGTTTGGGACATCTGTTATATTCTAAAGAAATTAGGCTTAAAAATGAAATTAGAAAAAAATAGTTTTCAATCATTAAATGATTTGTAAGAAGTTGTTAAAAAAGTTTCATTGGTTACTTCCCCTTTTGGGGGGCATCTAATGAAGATTTAAAACATGTAAATGAGATTCTACAAGAGATGGCTATCCCAGTGCACTCAGACAACTAACTAGAGGGTAGGCAAGTTCTTCTCCTGTTAGAGAATGTAATCCAGCATCAGCAGATATTGTGTTAGAAATGCAAAGCCATGGGAAGCATATGTGCTCTACACAAAGCATATTTTACTGATGGTTCTTCTATTAAAAGAGCAGCTCATGTTATTAATGGTAAAAAAATATGCAGAACAAATGGCCCCAACAACAGTTCAGGTAATCAAGTTTTGGGTTGTAGCAATGGTTTCTCAGCACCTAATAAAATGATTCATTTAATCTGTGTACTAAGAATCATTATGTTTTTAAGGCTCTTTAAGTAATGGAGACAATTCAATGCATAGAAACTATTATGATTAGGTTAAAATATTATTTAATCAAATTCAAAATGCTGTTCACCTAAAAAATTTTGCCATGTTTTGTGGGTCACATTGGGAGCCATTCAGGCCTTTCCTTGCCTACTGGCTAAAGGGAATGAGTCAACAGACTGATTAATAAAATCGGTTGATTTGCCTTAAATACAGAGAATTCTACAGTCTCATAACTTTCATCATTAAATAACAGTCTAAAAATAATTTGGTTTAGCTAGAGAGACTGATCCTACAATAAGTTGTACCCACAATATTTATCTGTGACTAATTTAGGTATGAACCTAGATGTCGTAGAAGCCAGGGGGCCATACTGGCCATGCCTCCTGACCAGCTCATGTTTAGAGAACAAGGATATTGCTGGAAAAAAAGGGATTGGGAAGAATTTACAGGATGACCCCCTTCTTGTGTCTGATAAACTCCCAGTGCAGAGTGCCCATGGAGACTGGAGATGATTAGCACATTTTCAATGGGGACCATTGTTCCACAGAATCATACCTCCAATTCCTATCACCTGGAAAAATGAACCCATTTGGATAAAATAATGCCCCCACTTATGTCAACAGAGGTTTTATCAGGATTTTAAAATTACCCCAAAACTGATATTCCTTATGACCCCCAAGGGCCGGCTATTAGGGAATGTGCCCACTGCACTTTTAAAAGCCTATTTAGTTAAAGTAGAAGGGGGACCTTGAGGGTTACCTTGGCTCAATTATTCTATATATCTTAAATCTTTAAATTGTGGATGATTCTAATAACTCTAATCACCCCCTCAATCTGGCCAATGTGTTGGCTGGATCTGATTAATTAAGTTGGAAGTTACACCAACATTTTCCCTGCCTGTTCCTTAACACTCTTTATGCCTACACAGTCTCTGGCTGCCTGATAGGATAATTTAAAACTTAGAATATGTGTTCCTCCACCATTTTCTTAGTTATGTTCAGTAACTCTCTTCCAGGAGAAATGCTTAATTGTTTCCTCCAGAACTGCCACTTGGAGAAGCTTTTCCTTACAGGAGAGAGATTTTGACATTTTGGTTACCACGTGGCTGCAAATGCAGCCACTTCTGAGTTTCCCAATTAACTGCCCTTCCATCACTTGCCACAGCACGCACACTGGGTATTTCTCAGAGAAGGTACCCTCTGCCTTAAGTTCACCAAAATAATATTTATTCTCTAGTCAAAATTGGGTACTTTAAATTTAAATTGGAAAACTTCTCTCTTAAATTTCTCAATTGGCTATTCAATTCATTTAAACTTGTTAGATCAGGGTG